TTTCTGCAAAAAAAACATACAAGTGGCTGACAGGTACGTGAAAAGATGCTCAACATTACTAATCATAAGAAAATGCAAATCAAAATGACAATGAGGTATCACTTAATACCTGTTAGGATGCCTATATTCAAAAACCAAAAGATAATACGTGTTGGTGAGGATATAGAAAAATTGGAACCTTTGCGCACAGTTCGTGGAAATGTAAAATGGTGTGGTCACTGTGAAAAACAGTATGGAGGTTCCCCCAAAACACTAAAAATAGAACTACCATATGGTCCAGCAATCCTACTTCTGAGTATATACCTAAAAGAACTGAAATCAGGGTCTTGAAAAGATATTTGCACTCCTGTGTTCATTGCAGCATTATTCATAATAACCAAAATGTGAAAAACAACCTAAATGTACACTGAGGATGAATGGATAAAGAAAATGTGATATATACATACAATGAAGTATTATTCATTCTTTAAAAAAAAGAAGGAAACCCTGCCATATGCTACAACATGGAAGAACCTTGAGGACATTATGCTAAGTGAAATAAGCCAGTCACTTAAGGACAAAGATCACATGATACCAATTATATGAGATATATAAACTAGTCAAACACATAGAAGCAGAGAGTAGAATGGTGGTTGCCAGGGGCTATGGGGAAGGGGAAACAGGGAGTTGCTGTTCAATGGGTATAAAGTTTCAGTTATCTGTGATGGTTAAGTTCTAGAGATCTGTTGTACAACCATGTGCCTAGAGCTAACAATACTATATTACACATCAAAATTTGTTAAGAAGGTAGATCTCATGTTAAGTGTTCTTACCCTAATTTTAAAAAGAGAGAAAAGGTCTTCCCTGGTGGCGCAGTGGTTGAGGGTCCGCCTGCCTATGCAGGGGACGCGGGTTCGTGCCCCGGTCCGGGAGGATCCCACGTGCCGTGGAGTGGCTGGGCCTGTGAGCCATGGCCGCTAGGCCTGCGCGTCCGGAGCCTGTGTTCCGCAACGGGAGAGGCCACAGCAGTGAGAGGGCCGCGTACCGCAAAAAAAAAAAGAGAGAGAGAAAGAAAGAGAGAGAGCGGGTTGGGGGGAGGGAGGGAGGAAGGGAGGAAGGGAGGAAGGGAAGAAGGAAGGAAAGAAGGAAGGGAGGAAGGAAGACAGAGGAAAAAAGGAAAAAAATAAAACAAAACAAAGAAAAAGATGAAAGAAATTCCATGAGAGATAAGTTTCAACTGGGTGCTCTGGAATCATGAGCATTACAGTGTCTCTGGGACTGTACAATCCTTTTTGACCAAAGGAACTTGAGACAGTGGACATGCATTGTGAGGCATCTCATCATTAGCACCTTTGGCCTCCAGATCTCAAATTATGAATGACTTTACTATATTGAAAAGAACAGTATGTGAATTTTCTTAGGAAATGAAAGAAAACTAATATCAAAAAGAAAATAAAAGAAATAAATACAAGGAGGTATTAACAAATCCACCATCACAGAGAGAAATTCTGCTCACCTCCCTCAGTAATTGAAAGATGAAGCAGACAAAAAAAAAAGTGAGGAAACAATGCATATACTTATATAAATAAATGAATAAATTGAAAGTGTTACGAGGAATGAGATATTTGCAGTTTCAAAGTACTTCTCCACTAAATACTAACTAATCACAATGAGAAAAAGTTAAGTATACTTAGAAAAACCTAGAAGACATCACTTAAACCAAGTGATCAGAGTGTACATAACCTATCATGGTACATATCAAAATTGTGCACTGCCTGTTAGAATTCAATGAGAAGAACACAGCATCATTGCTGTGATACTCCTACCAAAGATACAAAACCTGGTTCTAATCATGAAGAAACAGCAGACCAACTCAAAATTGAGGAACATTCTATAATATAACTGGCCTGAAATTTTCAAAAATGTAAAGATCATTAAAAAACCAAGGGAAGACTGAGGTATTGTTCCACACTGAAGGAGACTAAAAAGACAAGACATTTAAATGCAATGACAAAGATAACATGTGATTCTGAACTGCATCTCTTTGCTATAAAGACTGCTATAGGGAAAACTGCTAAAACTTAAATGGAGTCAGAAGATTAGATGGTAGTAACAATATCAATGTACATTTCCTGATTTTGATGATTTTAGTGTGGTTATGTAAGAGAACATCCCTCATTTGTTTGAAATATTCATTACAGTATTCAGGGGTTATGGAGCATCATGTTGCCAACTCATTCTCATGTTCACCAAACAAGCTCTTTTGTACCTTCTTGCAACCCTACTATGAGATTGTTTTCAAAAATGCATCATAAAGACAAGATGTACTAAGCACTCATGGAACTGAAGATTGCAATGTTAAATATGTGCTTCTATAAGAGAAAAATATGGAATATTCCTAACTTATTTTATGCATCTTGGAATCAAACAAAGATAATATAAGAATTAAAAATTAAATCTCACTTATTAACATAGAAATGAAGCTTCTAAACAAAATATCAGCAAACTGAATCTTGTAATGCACAAGAAAAATAATCATTCCAGGAATCCAAGGACAGTTTAACATTAGAAAATACATTAATAATTTAAGTGCAAAAAAAATGACTGATTCAACAGATGCAGACAAAGTATTTAATAAACTCTAACAATATTTATGGGAAAATTCTTAGAAAAAAAGAAATAAGTTTCCTTAACTTGATAAAAAGAGTATTTATTAAAACCAAACATCAAGTATCATACTAACTGGAAAACCATTAGAAGCATTCCCTTAAAATCAAGAACACAGTAATGACCAGCTTTCACTGCTTCTATTCCAACATGTACTAGAGGTGCTATCAGTGCCATTAAGACAAGTGAAACAAATACGAAGAGATCAGAGGACTTCCCTGGTGGCACAGTGGTTAAGAATCCACCTGCCATTGCAGGGGACATGGGTTTGATCCCTGGTCTGGGAAGATCCCAGACCCAGAGCAACTAAGCCCGTGTGCCATAACTACTAACCCTGCGCTCTAGAGCCCGAGAGCCACAACTACCGCAGCCTGTGCGCCCTAGAGTCCGCACGTCGCAACTACTGAGCCCACCGTGCTGCAACTACTGAAGCCTTCATGCCGATAGCCCGTGCTCCACAAGAGAGGCCACCACAATGAGAAGCCCGCACACTGCAACAAAGAGTAGCCCCCGCTTGCAGCAACTAGAGAAAGCCCGCGTGCAACAACGTAGACCCAACACAGCCAAAAATAAATAAAATTAAAAAAAAAAAAAGAGATCAGAAAGGAAGAAAAAGTTGCTATTATTCACAAATGACATTATTATCTACATGGACAATCTAAGAATCTGTAATTAAATTATTAGAATTAAGAAAGGGAGATAAGATTGGATATAATATCAATATATAAATTACTTTTCTATGCAGCAGCAGAAAATAAAAAGCCATTTTTAAAAAGTTGTTACTAAAAAAAACAAAAAAACTTAATAACAACTGTAAGAAGGAAAAGAGCAAGATAAAATTATTAGGGTATTGAGTTACTAAGACTTACTAGACTGAAAGCTGTAAAAAATGATGCTGTGACACTGGTGCAGAAAGAGCCAAACAGACCAAGGGAACAAATGAAAAAAAGCTAAAAACAAGCCAACACATATGTGGATATTTCATATAAAAAAGATGGGACGGCTTCCCTGGTGGCGCAGTGCTTGAGAGTCCGCCTGCCGATGCAGGGGACACGGGTTCGTGCCCCGGTCTGGGAGGATCCCACATGCCGCGGAGCGGATGGGCCCATGAGCCATGGCCGCTGAGCCTGCCGGAGCCTGTGCTCGGCAACGGGAGAGGCCACAACAGTGAGAGGCCCGCGTACCACAAAAAAAAAAAAAAAAAAAGAGATGGGATTGCTGATTAGTGGGAAAACAATGAAGAATATAATAAATAGTGTCGAGAATTACCTATCCATATGCAAAAAAGTAAAATTAGAGCCATACTTTAACCACACATAAAAATTAATTAAAGGCAGTTTAGCAACCTGTTAAAAAGCAAAATTGCAACTTTTAAAAGAAAATACATCATTTTACCTCAAAGTGGGGAAGACACAAAAAGCATCTATCATAAAGGAAAGATGATAAATTCAACTACATTAAAATGTAAAATTTTGTTCATAAGGTCAACAGAAAAAGTGAAAAGATATTCCATTGCCTGGGTAAAAATATTTGCAAAGCAAATAACCAGCAATGCATTTGTATCCAGAGTATATAAAGAACTTCTACAGTCAATGAGGAAAAGACTAAAAGCCCAAAGTAAAGGCAAAAGATATGAACAGGCACTTCTTAGGAAAGAAAATCCAAGCAGCCAGTACACACCAAAAGATGTTTCACCTCAATTATAACCAAGAAAATGAAATAACAAGCTCCATCATTTTTATACCTATATATTCTTAGTATTTTAATGATTTATAAAGATATGGTACATTAAAGTAAGATAAGAATCATCATAGAACATGTCCTCTTATTTTCACTAGTATATTTATGATCTTGTCTAGGTTTTATGAAAAGTTATCTGCAAAATCAGCACTATGTTTTCAAACGCTATTCAAAATAAACACAACATACAGAATTTATTTTTCCCCATAGAGAATTTTGCCCTAAGATGTGGAAACAGATCTAGAGATTGAGAAATTAATATAGCCCAACAATCTAACTGTACTACTGGATATACATTTTTTGAGCCTTGAATATTATACTAATTATACTATTTTCAGTGATGCCAGATGACATAATCATTAGTCTTTTTAAGGTAACAGTTGCAAAACTTCTAAAATTATATCACTTAGTTCTTTTCTATGGTCCCTTGTTTGTGTCCTATTTCCAATACAGCTTCCAGTGCAACTGTGTTTAAAAAAAAAAAAAATCGTACAAGTGCTGAGCTAAAGTACTATTTAATTTTGTTCCATTTAGTTTATTTACTATTTTAACTGCTGTACTCATAAGACTTGAAGAGTTGAAATCAGCTTAAAAGTTAAGCAAAATAACAGTACCTCACAATGCTGGCGAGAAGCTTGAATTTCACATTCATATTTGTTCTTTACAGATTCTAAGCAGAGCTCTCTATAGATTCCTGCAACCAAACACAATTACTCTGATTATGTTAGCAATAAGGAGTTTCAATATCACTTCCCTACAGGAATTCTGTCCTAACTATTTTATAAGATGAATCAAGAAGAAACTGGCAAGTGAGTCTAACTTTACCTTTAAAAACTAAAAATAAAAGGCTCAGTTAAAATATATATCAAAGAAGACTAGAAAACTAATAAGAGTTTAAGTGCTAGAAAAAAACTACACTGCAATTTTTAGTTCTTACCCATTTTTCTAAAGAATACTCCTAAATGTTTGATAGAGAATGATTAAAATGAAAATAAAACTCTTCACCTATGAAAAACAATCTCTTGGGATTCATAAGGGAAACAGAGTCAATAAGCTCTGGTTTCTTAATCATATATACTCAAAGGAACAACTGGATACCATAACCATCAAAACCACTAGTTTTTAACTATTATTTATCTTCAGAGTCCAAAGCTTCCAAGAGGATTAAATGTAGAAACTAATATAACAAAATTTATAAACTGATACGAGGTTTGAGTGCTCCTAACAGGGCTTTACCTAGAGAATGGATGCTCAAGTGAGTTTAACTTAGAGGTACCAAGACAACAGCATAAAATAGGCACCATGGTCATGCAAACATGCCATCACAAAAATGGCAAACAAAGAGGTCTAGATGTATATGCTTAACTGTATGCCATAGTTGCCCCTAGAAATGTAATTCTGTTTCTTGTATAGAAAAGGCAAGGGACAGATGTCTGGAACTATGCCATCAGCAACACATTCACACACACTACTTTTTGTACAATCAAAAAGTAAAGGAGGCTGCCTAACAGAAAAGTGAATAATTGACTGAAGTAATATTTCCTAAACATGCACTAAGTCTCACTTAGTGCTTTTAGAATGTCCAGGAAAATTAAGGACATGTTTACTTTTAAGGGTGTGCTAAGCCAATATGCAAAGACAGCAGATTAATCATCACATCATCTACATACTTAATACTAAGCACTCAAGAATAAAATTTGGTTTAAGGTGGATTTAGTACAAAGATAACCTATTATCAACAATGCCTTAGGTATTATATAACAGGTACATGAGGATCAATTAGTGTCCCTCAAAAAGAAAACAATCGGCGTCTCCACTAATTAAATTTCAGTTTCTAGTTTGACTATGAAAAATCATTAAGTGACCTTCAAATAGATATATCCCTTGTTATGCGTGGTAGGACACAATTCTGAGGCCAGATCCCAGTTACAAACAGAAGACTGAAATTTAACCACACAAATATAGTACATCTTCATTTATTCACAGCCACAAATGAGTCATCAAACTTATCAAAATAAAAACTCATGTCTAAACTATAGGTTTGAAGGCGAATTCTCTGTTCTTTAATATCCTGATCAAACATTTAAAAAATGTTTTTACAAATAAAAAATCCTTATCACTCTTACAGATGAAAAATACTGAGGACTTAAATTGAACCTTAATAGGAAATTAAACTGCGATAGTAACAGTATCTCTTAATGAAAGTATCATGGTTTCTAATTGTTTCACATGTGGAAGTACCCTCTCAACAACACTGTGAGCAATTTGAGGGCTTTTTTTCTTTTTTCAAGCCCCTACAGTAGCAGAGAAAAGCATGAGGCATTTAATAAATAACTGTGGGCTGACTGACAGTGAAACACTCTGGTCAACGTAAATACAGTTGTACTTCCATTAACAACAACCGCTCACTTGATAAACACCTTTTAAGTCTATTGAAGAGTTCATTTTCTACTATATGGAAAAGATGTTTCACTTTCCTACCTGCTACCTTTGTACGAATTTGCATATTTTCTTGTAAAGTTGCCAGTGGTTCCAAATATTCTGGTGCTTTTCCAGCTATGACTTCTTGTAGTTTTGCATCCACCTGACTTAATCGTTCTTTATAAAGTCTTAACAAAGCAAAAATTAAGATATTAATTTTAAAAGCCCAACAAAGGCTAACAATTTACCATTTCTATACATTCTCTTCTTAATATCATTCATATTCTAATAGCCTACCAAATGTATTTTTGCCTTGCTCTCAAGTGAAGAATGCAGTTACATTATTTGACTTTATGCACATAATCACAAAGAAATGTCTTTCTATTTTTTAGATATATCACTCTTTAATAGTTAACTTACAATACAAAAAATACAACTGAAATAACCACTTTTGGTCACTCTAGATGTTTTTGTTTTAACTGCAGAATAAATCAATTCTAAGAGAAAAGGTCAAATAAACACTGAGTTTAAAAAAAAATCATTTTGAATAATTTAGATACAGGCATTACTAGCTTTCAAAAATAAATAATTCCCTGTCTCCTCTCCAAGTTTCCTGAAAAGCAGTCAGTATTACAATATTCAGCCTACTTGATTTTCAAAAGAACAAAGAGGAAGTAGAGTGATGAAGGTAAAACCAATGGCTAGAGAACTTGTGATCTGGCATACTCAGTTCTTCTAGACTGCAAATGAAGAAGCTATAACAATGAGTTGCTCAATAGATGGGGAAATGAAAAGTGGGGCAAGGAATCCCTGTTGCTCTATTTATGAGTCCACATACAAATACTCCTAATTTACCAGCTGTCATCCCAATACCTTTAGCTTGATTATCAAAGACAGTATGTGAGACAACTCAATGTTTATTTTTAGCAATAATCCTGCAGGACAGAACTAACTCTTTTTTAACAGGAAAATGTTTAAATTGTCATTCTTTATAAAAGGCACTTCTAAGCCCAGTTTTGTGGCATTTCAAGGGCATCCTAAAATTTCAAAGCAGACAAACAATTTAAGGTCATTTTGTAAAATTTTTTTGCCATTTATTACTTCATCATAGGTGAAGAATATGTCATATACATCACAAGGATGGCATCTAGTAACTTCCAAAAGAAACCACTGCTTATGCTTGTAGGTGTTCGTATAAATAGCAGTTGGCTATTGAAAACATGATGATACCTGGCTTTCATATAAAATACCACTCTTTCCTCTTGAAAATATAAACCAATACAATTAAGGCAACTAATATTAATTGTCTACTATTGGTCATTATAATTAGCATAGAGATTTATACAATGATTCTAAAGGAATAAAGCAAATTTGAGTGTTAATATAATAACTATTCTTTTTTTTAAACAAAAAGGGAAAAATTAACAATTAACTGCCAAAATAATACGTTATCACATCTGGGTTAAATTTTTCTAAAATGCAACATACAATGTGTAAAGTCAGAAAAGTACAACATGATACTTATAGTTTTTGAAGTTATAAATACAACTTTAGGCAAAATGCTAAAAATCTGATAAAAAAGATGACTGTCCCTGAAAAACATCAAACTCATACAAAATATTGATAAGGTTTCCTGAATAGGTGAACATCTTGAATGAAGAGGATATGTGAATGAACAATATTCAATTAGCTCACTTTTAAAAGAATAGATTCCTCAAAATCAGTATAATTTCTACAGCCTTGGAATCCAAGTATAAACTCATCAAAGGCAAGGATCATGAGTCCCTCAGCAGCAACCACAATACTATTCGCAGAATAGAAGCTCAATTAACGTTTGTTGAATGTTGAACACTGAAATGAATGGAAACTTGGATGGCACAAGTTCCTCTATCTTTTTAAGGAGGTGGAAGAACTCACCTTCCACCACTTTACAAACTGCAAATTGTGGATTTTCTGCCTTAGGAATGGAGTACTACTGTGCCCTGTAGTAGCAGAACAGGCAAAGCAGGGTATTTATTACTACTATTATTATTATTATTATTATTATATTTCCCACCTCTGCCAAAGAGGATTTGAGACAGCTTACAGAGATACACAGTGTGACAAAATAAAAATAAAACACAAAGCAATGGGGCAAGACAAAAAAATAATTATAAACCTGGTGCCAAGATTTTTCTTTTCTAAAACATATTTCTAGATTCCAATTCCTTGAGAAAGAATCCTATTAAATAGGGGTAATGGGTCTACTTTTAACACTTTCAGAAATGAATAAAGCTGGTAGGGGGAACTGGCTGGTGGTCATAGTGAGCCATGAGAAAGTAATAATCAAGACAATTGCCTGCCCCAAGGTGAACAAGATTAGACCAAATGACTCACTAGATGCAAAGTTCTCCTACGTAATATATTATACTAGAGATTTACAGCAATTTTCATTTCTTGGATAACCATAAAAGGCACTTTAAAAGCTCAATAGGTATATCTTAAATAATTGTTTAAGAATTATTCACTCACGGATTACTTGTGCTAAAATACAAAAATACAAATTTGCTTCCTCTTTTCCAGAATGATCCCAAATGAACTGAATGAACTCTCCGTGTTGCCTAAATAATGGATTCCTGGGGATCCAAACTAATTTTGATTTCAAATTAATAATGTAAATCTTTAGAATAAGAAAATATCATGTTTTTTAAAGCCACAATTTTAAACTCTGGATTATTTTGGATTGCTTATATTAATTTGTTGCACTAGCAGGGAACATTATCTATATACATCTCTAATACCAGTGAAAGTTAAGACCAGAAATGGCATAAATCCAGCAGGATTCATATGGTAACCAAACCTGTCTTATTTTAGTCTGGCAATTTCAGATATTAAATGGGCTTTCATCTCTTCTTTGGGCCTCTCTAGGGAAGAAGTAGGAGAAAAGGAATAAGCAGCAAAATCACGAAGGATTCATAAACTGAAGAGCCAGCTTCTGAATAAGTTAAGGTGTCTTTCTCTCTTTCATTTACAATTCCTAAAATGTAGGTTGCCCCATAACCTTGCCAGCAAGTTCAAAACTGAAAGCTCACCTTTAAGATTTTTTTTTAATCTGCATCTGCATCTATTCTGTTCTCTCAAATCACTGGGGCCCATTCTTGCGTTACCAACTTTACATAAGAGTTCTGGCATTATAAGCAGGGGGAAAAAAATAGTATCTAATAAACATGCACTACATGCCAGACAAATGGCTGAGACTTTTACAGACTGCTCATTCAATCTTTACAGTAGATAATAACGAATCTCTTATTATACCTTTGAAATCTGTCCAGAAAGCCTGGATTCAGAGCCTATGCTCTTTCTATTCCACTACAGTTCCTCCAAAGTAATGTGCCTTAGTGGAAGGGACACCATAGCACTTTCTGCACTAGGAGGCAGAAAGCCTGGCTTAATTTATCACTTTCTGAAGAACTATGAACAAATCACTTAACCTCTCTGAGCATCAATCTTCTCATGGGTAAATTAGAGATAAGACTATCTATCTCCCAACCTTACAGAGAAGCAAACTAAATAATGCGTGTGAAAACACGTAATATATATATTACCCAATGTTAAGATATAAACAAAAATCACTATGCCATCTTTGGGAAATATCTCTCTTATTCTCACAATTTTAAAATGCTATCTTTATCCAATTATTTAACAAAGGAATAAATGAAGCAAATTAGAATCAAGGGTGCAACAACCCAGGAAAACATTTTCATTACCAGCCCCACATAAAAATCTTATCATATCCCCCCCAAAAACAGCCTCAAAACCCTTGATTAGTTAATGAGGTCTTCAGCAGGCAAACAATAGCCGAAGCCTTTTTCAGATCAGTCGGTCCCATAAAACACGAAAAGGAAAATAGTTTAGAGTGAATATAATTTCTCTCATGCTACTGTACACGTGACAAGGTTAAGATTCGGTGACAATGACCTTCTGAAGTCACTACTTACTGATCCTTGAGATCGGTAAACTGTTTTTCAAGATTGGACATTTCATCTAAACATTCCATTCTTCTTCTTTCACAGTCTTCATCATCCATTTCTGTTAGTAAAAGGCAAATATCAAAGATAAAATTAATTTTATGTTCCAAATATATCTGAATGTTAATTCAAATGGCAAAAAAAAAGAAAAACACTGAAATATGAAGTTAGATATGCAAGGCCTACATTCAGCATTAAAATACATATTTACCAAAAATAATTTCCACTATAGATTTTAACCTAAAATACAGATGAATTAAAACTATAACAGTCTCTAGACCTTCTTATTTTTATTCATTTTTAAATCATTTTAAAGGGCCGATATTAAACTGTGACTATGAAGTAATTAACCCACTTTTGGTCTGTTTTCCACCAAATCACGAGAACTTAAGCACCAAGATGATTATGTCCTTTAAAGGTTAATATTGCTCAAAAACACTTATGGAATTCTTCTTTCAGCACTGCTCACAAAGATGATTTGCGGTTCAAATAAAAAAGAAGACTAATCTCATTATGTTTACCACAGAATATCTTGGTCTCCTACTCTTATATTCCCATTGATCCCCCTCCCCAAATTACTGTCAGTCAGTGCGAAAGAGGAAAATGAGGAGAAAAACAAGCAAACTTTTCAAGGAAAGCAGCTGTTAGTTACCAGCTCTGTCCTATATTTCATATCTTCTATTTTTACATCACATACAGTTGACAATAACAGAAGCTTAAAATGATGTGCATATTGATCATCATCAAATAAAGGTCAAACTATGAGAAAGAGTTAAATTATGTTCAGTTATCTTCCAATAGTGAGGAAGTATACAATTTTTTTTAACTTTTCTGAAACAGATTAAAATTATTTCTGGCTCCTAATAGCTTATTCCTTGGCTATTTAAAACGTGGTTCCTCAAGACGACTCACTCCCCAATATCTCTGGATAGTTTTTCTGTAGCCTTAGGACCGGCCCAGTACCAAGGTTGGAGAAGAATAAAACTGTGGAAATTTAACATGCAAGACATATGGTAGAAAAGAAATGCTTTCACAACATGCAAAACTGCAAAGTTTATTTAAATAATTTCTTTGCACTTAAAAAATTTGACTTGTAGTTCAAATTATTATTACATTTTTCACAAATTAAGTTGTTCATTATTTTCTGGGATAGAATAAAAAACTGAAAAATCACAAGGGTCAACATAAAAATTAGAGAGGCAGAATTTTAGTAAATAGATGTCATATTGCGAGATCCTAGCTCCCATAAAAATTAAAATTACAAAAAAAAACAAAGAACACTTGAAGATAAAATGTTTTACAGATCTAGGAAATGTATTCACATATAGTATAGATGTTCTTTCTCTGTATTCCTCACTTTTGAAATGTCACCTATTTTCATGACTAGGAAGATGACTTCCAAATTATGCTTCCCATACCAGGCAGGTCCCAACGCCACATTTCCACCTGTCAGTTGGGCACTCTGACTTAAATATACCAACAGGACCTCAAAAACAACATGTCTGTAATACTCTATCTTCCACCTTCATCTCAAATCTTTTACTTTTCTATTTCTGTTCATGCTACCACCATTCTCCTTGTACCTGGGTTTTTCTTCTTACCTTGACTCTTAAACTTGTAGTCATCAATCCCACTTTCTGCTTTTTTTGAAATCTTTCACATCTATATCTTTTCCTTTTCTAGCTCAAATCCTTCTCCCAACCAAACTGGTTTTCTCACTTTTTTGAATAAGCCTTAAGATCTGGCCTTTGCACTTTTTCTTATATTCCTCCTTCTATAGCAGGGATCCCCAAACCCCGGGCCATGGACTGGTACCACGTTAGGAGCCGGTCCCCACAGCAGGAGGTGGGCAGCAGGCGAGCAAGCAGAACTTCATCTGTCTTTATAGCCACTCCCCATCGCTCGCATTACCACCTGAGCTCCACCTCCTGTCAGATCAGCAGCGGCATTAGATTCTCATAGGACCACAAACCCTACTGTGAACTGCGCATGCAAGGGATCTAGGTTACGCACTCCTTATGAGAATCTAATGCCTGATGATCTGAGGTGGAGCTGAGGCAGTGATGCTAGCACTGGGGAGTGGCTGCAAATACAGATTATCATTAGCAGATAAGTTTGCACAGAGACCATAATAAATCAATTGCTTGCAGACTCATATCAAAACCCTGTCAGTGGGACTTCCCTGGTGGCACAGTGGTTAAGAACCCACCTGTCAATGCAGGGTACATGGGTTCTATCCCTGGTCCAGGAAGATCCCACATGCTGCAGAGCAACTAAGCCCATGCACCACAACTAATGAGCTTGCACGCCACAACTACTGAGCCCACACATCGCAACTACTGAAGCCAGCATGCTCTAGGTCCTACATGCCACAACTACTGAGCCCGAGTGCTGCAACTACTGAAGCCCACACGCCTGGAGCCCGTGCTCAGCAATAAGAGAAGCCACTGCAATGAGAAGCCTGTGCACTGCAATAAAGAATAGCCCCCACTTGCCGCAACTAGAGAAAGCCTGCATGCAGCAATGAAGACCCAACACAGCCAAAAAATAAGTAAAATTTAAAAAATTTTTTAAAAAAACCCTATCAGTGAGTGGCAAGTAACAATTAAGCTGCATCTGATGGCAGGCTTTATAGTGGCAAGTGAGTTGATGTACTTCAATTGTACAGCTGCATCTTGTGGCAGGCTTTAAGTCAGAATCTGACACTTATTTTAGTCCGCGCATGGCCCACCCATTATTTTATTTACCAGTTCTGTCCGTGCTTCTTTCCCCCACTGTGCACTTGTCTCAGTCACAGTTTTGGTAAGCCCACAAGCTAACCCTAGCCAAAATGAGTAAAAAACAAATATCGCTGAAGAGCTTCTTTGAAAAGGGGGAAAGACCCAATGATGAGACAGCAGAAGACTCTAAGACTACCAACAAAAAGAAAGCTGGGTTTAAAAGAAAATACCAAGAGTCCTACTTAAATTACAGGTTCGTTGCAACAGGTGATTTACATTTTCCAAGCCCACTTTGTATAACATGTGGCGACCGGCTATCCAACGAAGCCATAAAACCTTCAAAACTGCTTCACAACATGGACACCAAGCACCCTGCATTAAAAGACAAGCCTTTGGAGTTTTTCAAAAGAAAATGACGTGAACACGAAGAACAGAAGCAATTACTGAAGGCCACCACTTCATCAAACGTGCCTGCACTGAGAGCATCATTCTTAGTGGCTAAACGTATTGCTAAAACTAAGAAGCCTTTTACTATTGGTGAAGAGTTGATCCTGCCTGCTGCTAAGGACGTTTGTCGTGAACTTTTAGGAGAGAATGCAGTTCAAAAGGTGGCACGTGTTCCTCTTCCGGCTAGCACCGTAACTAGATGAATTGATGAAACAGCACAGGATATCAAGGCACAATTGTTAGACAGGATTAATGAGTCACCGTGGTACACAATCCAGGTTGATGAATCTACCAATATTGACAACAAGGCAACAATGCTTGTTTTTGTGCGATACATTTTTCAGGAGGATGTGCATGAGGATATGTTATGTGCACTTTTGTTGCCAACCAACACCACAGCTGCAGAACTATTCAAGTCTTTGAATGATAACAGGAAAACTGAATTGGTCATTTTGTGTCAGTATATGCATGGACAGAGCGGCTGCCATGACTGGACGGCTTTCTGGTTTCACTACTTGGGTCAAAGAGGTTGCTTTTGAATGTGAGTCTACGCACTGTGTCGTCCATAGAGAAATGCTGGCTAGCCAAAAAATGTCACCTGAACTTAACAACATTTTTCAGGATATGATTAAAATTATCAACCACATTAAAGTATATGTCCTTAACTCATGTCTGTTCATGCAGCTCTGTGAGGAGATGGACACATGTCTTCTCTTATACACAGAAGTGAGATGGCTTTCTAAAGGTAGATCACTGGCCAGAGTTTTTGAGTTATGAGAGCCGCTCCAGAGATTTCTTTTAGGAAAACATTCACCACTGGCAGCACATTTCAGTGACACAGAATGGGTCGCAAAACTTACTTGCGTTGACGTATTCAACCTGCTCAACGAACTCAACCTGTCACTTCAGGGGAGAACGACAACTGTGTTCAAGTCGGCAGATGAAGTGGCTGCATTCAGAGCCAAACTGGAATTATGAGGGCGACGAGTGAACACTGGGATTTCTGACATGTTTCAAACATTAGCAGAGATTTTGAAAGAGACTGAACCAGGGTCTTCTTTCTCCCAGCTGGTGCATGATCACCTATCTCAGCTTTCTAAAGAGTTGAACATTACTTCCCAACCACAAAAGACCCCAAAACTGGGAAGAAATGGATCCGCGACTATTTGTAAATAAGCCAGGTGAAATCGACTTTGTCAATGCTAGAAGAGGATCAACTGCTTGAGATCGCAAATGACGGTGGCCTTAAAAGTACGTTTGAGACAACTTCAGATCTCCATACGTTCTGGATTAAAGTCAAGGCGGAATATCCTGAAATTGTCACAAAAGCACTGAAAAGCCTGCTTCCATTTCCAACTCTTATCTTCATGAAGCAGGGTTTTCTGCAGTGACAGCAGCCAAAACGAGATCACGGAGTAGACTGGACATAAGCAACACACTACAGGTGTCACTGTCTCCCATCACCCCCAGATGGGACCATCTAGTTGCAGGAAAACAAGCTCAGGGCTCCCAGTGACTCTGCATTACGGTGAATTGTAAAATTATTTCATTATATATTACAATGTAATAATAACAGAAATAAAGTGCACAATAAATGTAATGGGCTTGAATCATCCCTAAACCATCCCCCCCTCCCCGGTCCGTGGAAAAATTATCTTTTACGAAACCAGTGCCTGGTTCCAAAAAGGTTGGGGACCGCTGTTCTATAGAAACACCTGAACATTACCACTCCAATCCAAGTTCTACCCATTCTTCAAGGTAATTTAGGTAACCCCACCTTCTTCATCTAGCCTTTGCTAACCACCTTATACTGAAAAGATTTCCTCTGCCTCAATTCCTACAGTATTGTTTATAGTTAAGCATTTGTTTGGCAATTTAATCAAGTGGTGACCTATGACAGCTCTTTAATTGCAGTCAGATTATAACTATTTATAGCTCACAATGAGTAGAACCCAGTACTGCAAAAGGAAGTCACTCAGAAATACTTATTTTGGGGTGGTTGATTTATTGACTGAAATTACATACTTCCATGGAGGTTTCCTTTGAAAGGGAAACCTGAAAAGAGGGTGTCAGGGTGCTGACAGACTGTCATCAACTTGTCATCAATCCTTGCTTCACATGGCCAAAATCAGGACAAGACAAAGAAATAAGTCTCATCTTCATCATACGGATAAAAGGAAAAGAATCCAGGTAATCACAAATTCCACTTTTTTTTAAAATAATCATTACTAAAAGTTTGCAAAAATTCACTTGTGGTGTTAACCTGCCCTCCTCTACCCCACCCCACCTCCCCCCTGAAAAAACAAAACTAAAATAGCCCAAAGTTAGAAAAGATTGCAGGAAAGAAAAGATTTGGAGAATTTCAAAGTTGCCAAAAATCAGCCAATTTATAAGCATATGAAGATCCCCAATCACCCCTGATGTTAGGCTCTTCTTAGTCTTGACAAGTGCAGAGAGATGCTGTAAACGGTCCAGCTCCCACGTCAGCCCCTCGAAAGAGCACTAATATCAAGTGCTGACACGCTGACTTGGAAGCTGAGATTAAAAAATTCTAAGCCAGCCAAGAGCCAATACAAATCTACCCTCGGCTCCGACAACCCACCCACGTTGACAAGTAAGGGTTGCAAAGGTGCAAAATAAGAAGTCGGTGGTCTGGGGAGAGGAGGCATTTGCAGGGTCTCACAGACAAGATGCGGCACATTCCTCGCTCCGGATAGCCCCGGGCACTACCCAGAGGTCCCAAGGGCGGGGCGGACCGCGAGCGGGACCGCGCAGCGTACGGGAGCTGGGCGAGTCCAGGCCCGGGCCCTGCCCCGCCCCGCCAACCGGGACCCGCCAGGAGCCGGGCAGCGCCCAGCGAACAGTCCGGGTGCCAGGGAGAGCTGGGAGCCAGTCTCCGCCCCTTCCCTCTCTCTCCTCCCCGTTCTCCCAGCAGGACGCAGCTGCCCGGAGTGCGGAGAGCGGCCTGTCGCTAGCCTGGCGCGAGGACTTGGGGTCCCAGCCCGCTGGGTCGCGTACCTGAGCTATCTCCATCCTCGGAGACCGACGAGCTCTCGGTGTCCTCGTCCTCGGAGCTGCTCCCCTCGTTTTCGGCGTAGTCCACCTCCATCTCATCGTGATGGTTCGTCTCCTTCTTATCCCCTCGGGAATGGACTGGCATTTTCCAGCCGCGCCGTCGCTTCCCACTCCCGGCGCCCAGCCCGGCCACCGCCGCTTCAGAGAAGGGCGCGCCGAACGCCCCGACCCACCCAGCGGCCGAGCTTTTTCTGAACCCCCTCGGCTCCTCCCCGCCCCCGCCGGAGCCTCACAACCTAACCCACAGGCTTTGCGCTGGGAGCTCTGCCATTGGTGGAGGCAGTCCTCCGGGCCTGGGGCTGGAGCTTGTCCTGCTCGGGTCCGGTTGGTTGCCGGTAATTACGGCGCGGCCTCGCGGTATGTGTCGGGAGTTGTAGTCCTTACTGCTCAGACCTGCAGGGGCCGCCAGCTTCCAAGCTTCAACAGTCCTGATCACTTCTCCCCTCTGAACTTCAAGTCCCACAAGGCACGAAAGCTGCCAGAGTCGATCTCAGTTTATAAACTAACCAGAAACAGATTGTGAGAATTTGATCTGTATTTATTCTTTTCCCGCCAAGTGATTGAGCTCCCAGGCCATCCAAGATGTTTCTGTCAGACGAAAAGGTCTTTTGCCTGAGGTTTTTTCCTCCTCTTTGAGGATACGGGAACTGGAGAAATGTCTCTTTACCTAAGCACTTTTATTTACTACTAATAAACTATTATTTAATTAATTTCTGCAGGCAACTTGCACTTTCTATGTTGCACAAAAGTCTTTAAATTGTTCTTGAAACTTTTGCAATCCATAATATGGAAGGAAAGGAAGTTTTATCTTGGCACTTTTCTCTAGTATGTTTTGCATTATTTTTTACCATTTGCAGCCTGAAAATGCTACCAATCTTAACTTCAGTTTTCAAAGAAAAATACATATTTGACTTAATGAAATGTTATATTTTATCAATGGTAGAGATGATAGACAAGGAAAACTCATTAAATATAATCATAATAACATACTAATTGACCACTTTTACTCTATATCAGGTACCCTGGTAAGTTCTTTAAATGAGTTATATTGAGTTAAATTCTCAATTTAATAGCCCTGAGGTAGTTGCTATTATTATACCCATTTTACAGATGAGGAAACTTTACTTGCAGACAAACCTAAAAACGGTATTTTATCAATTATAAAGACAGGGCTTCTTCCTGAAGTGGCAATTTGCTATTGACAGAGATTTCATAGAATATAGTGGGTTGTACAGCATTTCTCAAACACAAGGCCCAAAGACATTTGACAGAGAATGATAAGAGTATCCAAGCATAAATTTATTAAAGTTAGATTTGGAATTTAACGACAGAAAACATTTCAAGGGCTATCCATCTCTTGGCTTAGATCCAAATTATGGGGCTTTTATTATCTAGTGTCAGCCTACTTCTCAGCCTACTCTTCTTACTGTAGTCTCCAAAACTGAACTCCTCAATTGATAAACACACAAATTGTTTCCCATTTCAATGTTTTTGCATATCCTATTCTCTCTGCAACCCTCTTCCACTCCTTTTTTTCAAAGCCACTTTCCTGACAACGTTCATCACCAGCAGCACCTCCACCATTCAGTACACACTCCTGTTCCTTCAGGTTGCTACTATACTTTGTACTTTGCAACTTTGTACTTGTTTCTGTCAAACTGTATTGTGAATTGTTTAGCAGATGCATCTCACCTATTGGATTGTGAATTCCTTGAGAACAGGGACTGTCTTATTCTGGGATGCAATTTCGGAGGCAAGCATGTGAGTACGTGCACGTACATTATGTGAGTGGTGTGGACTAAAGTGGGGCAGCTGCTTTTAGCTCCAGCCAATTGTTGCTACATCAGAATTCTGGCCTAGATGTCAAATCTTCCAGTTTTCAAGAGAAACTGGAAATTTAGATCTCTATGTGAAATAACCAGATTTGTAAACATTATCTCAAGTGCATTTTTTTTTTTGCTGTTGTTTTGGTTTGGTTTGGTTTATTAAACCCCAGACCAAACAAAAACAGCTGTGGATAAAATCCCTGGCCTCTGTTAATCTCTGTTATATCAGCAGCTAGCAGAGTATGTGCTAAATAGTAACAATCACTTAGATTTCTGGTCACTATGTGCCAAGCACTGTTACATGCTTTAAGTACATTAATTCATTTAATCCTTATAACAACTCTATGAAGTAGATATAAAATTATGCCTTCTATTTTTCAGATATGGAAACTGAAGCTCAAAGCAGTTAGGTTACTTGGCCAAGGCCACACAGCTAATAAATAGCAGATTTAAGATTTGAATTTGAGTAGTCTGACATCAGAGCCTGCACTCAACTACCAGTATACAGTGCCCCTGTAACAGGTGCTTTCTATGTTTCTGCTGTTTAAAGGAAAACAGAAGGAATTTGGAGAGGAGGCACAGATTCTAGCCCTGGTTCTGCTAGTAATCAACAATTCAATTTGGCAAATCACACGATCTCTGGTCACTTGTAAAATGAGAAGTTTGTATTAACGTTATCTTTAAGTTCTCTTCTGGGGCTTCCCTCGTGGTGCAGTGGTTAAGAATCCGCCTGCCAATTCAGGGGACACAGGTTCTAGCCCTGGTCCGGGAAGATCCCACATGCCTTGGAGCAACTAAGCCTGTGCGCCACAACTACTGAGCCCACACGCCACAACTATTGAAGCCCACCTGCTCTAGGGCCTGCATGCTGCAACTACTGAGCCTGCAACCCACAACTACTGAAGCCCGCATGCCTAGAGCCCGTGCTCTGCTCCACAAGAGAAGCCACCGCAATGAGAAGCCCGCGCACCACAACAAAGAGTAACCCCTGCTTGCCTCAACTAAAGAAAGCCCGCATGCAGAAACAAAGACCCAATGCAGCCATAAATATATAAATAAATAAATAAATAAACAAATAAATAAATAAAATAATAAGTTATCTTCCAGCTCTAAAATTCCTGTCATCACTATATTTATGTTTAAGGCAGACAAAATAATGGGAGATTATACAATTAGAGTTGCATGATGGTGTTTTGCTTAAAAGGGTAATTTCTCTCTCCTCTCCCCAAACAGATTTTAGAAAAGATGCCTAGGGAGTGTAAGAGGAACCATAAGGGGAAAAAAATGAATAAGGCTGGAAAAGAATGTTGTCAATTTAGAAAGTACAAATTAATGTGAAGAAAACCATGAACACAGAATGAAGTTTCCTCAATCAAGGCATATTAATAGATAGGAATGATGCCTTCCATTTATGTAGCACTTTACATTTCATGTAGGGCTTACACAATCATTAGATACATTTTAAATCTCACTTTTCATTAATCCATCCATACGCACTCATTTATTGAAAGCCTTCTAAAACTCATGGTCGGTCATCAGCAAAATCTACTATATCATCACCTCTTCTCTGAAATGTTCCCTTAACTTTCTTGTTCTAAACGGAACATTGCTCTCCCCTAGGACTCTGCTTCCTTTGCACCCCTACTCCCACTGAGCCTTGTCATGGAGTAGGTATGTTCCATGTCCCCCTTGTTACTTCTAGATGATCATTCCCCCCGCAAAAAAACCCAGCTTGTCATCAGCATATACCACATAGTATCTCTACTTGTGGCTGTCATGTACATACTGCCCAGACTCATTCCCCCTCATTTTTTGAAGATTTTAGCTCTTGGTTCATTCTCTCCCATAGTATGCCTATCATAATCCTTGGTCATTTTAGTATTCATGTAAATAATCCTATACCACTCCATTTCCTACTCGGTTTGCTCTGGTACAGAGTAGACATAAAATAATTCTGGCTTTTTCTTTCTAGTTTTCCTCCCATACCTTCTTTGGGGTAACTTTTTTTCAATCTGTCTTATTAAATATTTTAATATTACATGATAATTTAAACACATAGAAAGATATTCAGAATATTATATATATATATATGTAACACAGTATTGCTCTCTAAGCTTTGTCAAATCTTAGAATTTTACCACATTTGCTCCAGACCCCTCTTCAGTCCCAGTTTTCTCCTTCCCTCTCCAGAGTAACCATTATTCTGACTTCAGTGTTTTTGATTGCCGTGCATGTGTACATACCATTTTTGTATATTATGTATCCATAAATAATAGAAAGGATTGTCTAACATGTTTTAAAGTAGTCTCATACACTACATATCATGCTACAACTTCCTTTTTCCTCAACAATTTTTTAATATGTATTTATTTATTTATTTGGCTGCACTGGGTCTTAGTTGCAGCATGCAGGATCTTTAGTTGCGGCATGCAGGATCTAGTTCCCTGACCAGGGGTCGAATCCGGGCCCCCTGTGTTGGGAGCGTGGAGTCTTAACCACTGGACCACCAGTCCCTCAGCAATGTTTTTGAGATGTATCTATTATGATACAGGTAGCTCTAAATCCAGTTATTTTAACCTGCTCTAAGGTAGTCCCTTGAGTACATATATTCCATTGAATGAATATTAAAAACTTTACTCACTTACCTGTTAATGGATGGTTAGGTTGCTTCCAATTTTTTCATTATTAAAAACAGTTGCCTCAATGAATATTCTTGTATTTATCTTTTGGGGCATGTGTGTGAGGATTTCTCTAGGTCAGTCATCTCCAAAGTGGGGCATGTGAATCCAGGGAGTATATCCTAGGGGACAGGAAGAAAAGATTAAAATTTCTGTGTATATAATTTTCAATTTCGTCTTTGTCTGGAATAAAGTAGATGTAGGAAGGAAGCTATATGCCCATTTTTTACTCTGATTTACACTCATTATATTCCTTGTGCTTACTTGTTTTTAATCAGCAGATCCTGCCCCTAAAGGGAAGCAAACTTAATTTCAACCACTACCACGTGGTGGAGCTGAGACATCAGCTATACAGCCACAAACCTTGCTGCTGATTGACCCAGGCCAGATGCTGATAAGTTGAAAAACAAACGCAGGAGACCAGAGGCAGCGACTAATGGCTAATATTCAAATCAGCGTAAACATTTTAATCATTCAAACTAAATCTAGGTCTTTAGAGATCTACATTGACAACTAAATGAGACCAATTTATTATCAATGATATGAGTCCATGATTTCAATTGCTTAAGAACGAAACCATCTAAAGGTGCTTGAAATAACCTGTTGACTGGTACAGGGCCCAACCTTGTATTAATTGTCTATTTGCAGAAATTAGTTCTTGGATTAGTTCAACTATAAATTTGATAACATTCCTATTAGTATATTTATATTATTATTATTATTCCACTATCTCATAGCTCAAATTATCATGTGCTTTTCTGT